AAAAAAAAAAAACCCAGAAAATAAAGAAGAAAGAAAAAAATAAAAAATAAAAAATAAATAGGCTCAGCGCCTATAGCTCAAGTGGCTAAGGCTCTAGCCACATACCATACACCAGAGCTGGCAAGTTCGAATACAGCCCCGGCCTGCTAAACAACAATGACAACTACAACCAAAAAATAGCCAGGCATTGTGGTGGGCGCCTGTAGTCCCAGCTACTTGGGAGGCTGAGGCAAGAGAATCACTTAAGCCCAGGAGTTGGAGGTTGCTGTGAGCTGTGATGCTACAGCACTCTACCAAGGGTGACAAAGTGAGACTCTGTCTCAAAAATAAATAAATAAATAATTTGTATTTCAATGATGATCAGTGATGTTGAGCATTTTTTCATGAATCTGTTGGCCATTTGTGTGTCTTCTTCAGAAAGTCTGTTCAGGCTGTGCATGGTGGCTCATGCCTATAATCCTAGCACTCTGGGAGGCTGAGGTAGGAGGATCCCTTGAGCTAAGAGTTCAAGACCAGCTTCAGCAAGAATGAGACCCTACCTCAACTAAAAATAGAAAAATTAGCCAGCTTTGTGGCGGGTGCCTGTAGTCCCAGCTACTCAGTAGGGTGAGGCAGGAGGATCTCTTGAGCCCAGGAGTTAGAGGTTGCTGTGAGCTAGGCTAATGCCATGGCATTCTAGCCTGGGCAACAGTGTAAGACTCTGCCTCAAAAAAACCAAAGTGTCTGTTCAGGTCTTTTCCCCATTTTTTTTAATTGGGTAATTTGTTTTCTTGCTATTGAGTTGAGTTCCTTACATGTTTTGGATATTAACCTCTTATCAGAGGTATGGTTTGCAAATATAACGTTATTATTTTAAAGAAATATATGTCACCTTTGTAAACAAAGAACAGCATATTCATTTGTCATTCCTTTGGAAACTTCAGAAATCATAAATCTTGTATCTAGGAAACTACTAGCAATATGAAAATGCCACAGTTAACCCCTAAGTTCTTCCCTACACATACTATGATAATTACTCACCCCAAGATGCATAATTACTACTTTCTTTCCTTTTAAGAGGACTTAAGCTTCTCTAAACCATAAGTCCACTATGAAATAAACCATATTATGCTTTTTTTTACATCCTTAGTACCTAGTATAATGCCTGTCACATAGCAATCCCTTAGTAAATTATTGTTCAATGTATGCTGAATAGATATTAACTACTTACGAGATAAGTCAATTTTTAGTTTATCCTTCATGGCCACACTTCCAGAATGTATTAATCTCCTCACAGCATAAGCCTGTTCCTAAAAAGGATGTAAATTGAAAAATCAGGATTATTTATTTACTTGGCAGTTAACAGCTATATCGAAGAAAAACCTCCCTTAAAAAAACCGTACACCTCCCAGCAAGGTGGGTGGCTGAAGTTTGCATTGAAACGTGACCATGGCCTGACCTTAAAGGGGAGGAGCAAAGGAGAGGGGGGCTGGAGCCCTTTAAATCTAGGTGGGCTGGTGCCTGCCCCTTTGAGGGCAGGGCTTCCCAATGTTTTTTTTTTAAAAAAAAACAAAAACCCCACACACCTCCAAAATGTTAATAGCAAGACCATGTACAATGAGATATTATGCATTGTATAAATCAAGTTAGGATGAGGCTGATTCTAATCTCATCATTGTCTTTTAGTAGCTACAGTTAGTTAATACCTTCTCCCAGCTCTACATTCCTACCTCTAACTGCTACCCTTTAGTTGCAGCAGGTAAAGAAAGGCTTAGCTTCGGTGTACCTGGCATACTAATTGGCATATTAACTAACCCTAATTGGGGAAATAGCTTTTTGAACCTCATCCTTAATATAGCTTCCTAGACTAAGTAATGCATGAATACAGGTATCAGTGGGGGAAGAGACCCAAATACATGTTGAGATGAGCTTCGACAGGCTTTCATGGTGACAAATTTACAAATAGATACGGGGCTGGTTCTTCTCACTGCCCCTTTGGAAGTGACAGAAAGGATTTCAGAAGAGTCTTATCTTGGCTGTCCAGGGAACAGGCTGTGAGTATCTGTGATAAGTGACTGGGTCCATCATTGTCACAGCTATTTTGCCGGGAATCAACCCACTAGATAGATAGTGTGTACAGGAGCGGGGAAAATCTTGCTGAAAGATTGCACTCTAGGATAGGAATGTTTAATAGAACATGATTCCTGGGAAACAAATGTTCTGAGTTCTTATAGTCTAACTGAAACAGAAATGTTACAGATTACAAGGGTACATGTGAAATTTACTAACTGTAGAATATAAATGTCTTAACACAATAACTAAGAAAATGTTGTGAAGGCTATGTTAACCAGTTTGATGAAAATACTTCAAATTGCATATAAACCCAGCACATTGTACCCCATGATTGCATTAATGTACACAGCTATGATTTAATTTTTTTAAAAAAGAAATGTTACAGAATCCAAGGAGAAATATTTTTATGCATTGAAGACATTTGCTCTGAGATACAAATGTTTCTTACCAAAGGCAGACGCAGTATGAACTGGTTCTCAACTTCATGAGGAGGTTCATCCTGGGTTGTACTCGCCTCTTGGGCTTCATGGAAACAGAAAGAAAGCCAACGGTCACTAAAAACTCCTCTTGCTCCCTCTGCTGACCAATTCTGATAGTACTACTTAAATTATACAAATCCTTGCCCATAATCCTCACAGGAATGGTAAGTGTACAGTTACACGATACCTTATTTGACATAACTTCATTATTTCTTTCTTTTTTTTTCAAGACAGAGCCTCCAGCCATCGCTCTGGGTAGAGTGCTATGGCATCACAGCTCACAGAAACCTCCAACTCTTGGGCTCAAGCGATTCTCTTGCCTCTGCCTCCCAAGTAGCTGGGACCACAGGTGTCCGCCACAACAGCCAGTTATTTTTTGGTTGCAGCCATCATTGTTGTTTGGCGGGCTCGGGCTGGATTTGAACCTGCCAGCTCAGGTGTATGTGGCTGGCACCTTAGCCGCTTGAGCTACAGGCGCCGAGCCAACTTGATTATTTCTAAAAGTCACTTTATCTCCCCTCCAGTATGTATAGGTTTCCAAAAATCAATCCAAATTACTCTTTTTAAAAACAGTGTCTTACTTTGTTGCTCTGGGTAGAGCATCCTGTGTCATAGCTCACAGCAACCTCAGACTCTTAGGTTCAAGCTATCCTCTTGCCTCAGTCTCCCAAGTAGCTGGGACTACAGGCGCCTGCCACAATGACCAGCTGGTTTTAGAGACAGGGTCTCGCTCTTGCTCAGGCTGGTCTTAAACACCTGAGCTCAGGCAATCCACCCGCCTTGGCCTCCCAGAGTGCAAGGATTGCAGGCATGAACCACCCAACCCCAGCCTTGAAACATTTAATCTTAATGCTATTCTTAGACTCTCAGGTAAAGGACTACAATTCAACACAGTGGTGGTTACTTAAGCAAACTATAGGATTCCCGCAGGGAACAATGCAAAGCAAAGGCTAAAATCAATCCAGAAGCCCCTTGCAGAAGTGTTCTATGATGATTGGAAGTAAACAAAAACTTCACTTCCAATTTTTCATCCACTTTAATGGACTGGTAGGAATTAAACAGTCCATGGAAGAGCAGGTAGTTTTTTAATGACTCTAGAAAAGCCAACATCAGGGTGGCGCCTGTGGTTCAGTGAGTAGAGCGCCCACCCCATATACTGAGGGTGGTGGGTTCAAACCCAGCCCCAGCCAAACTGCAACAAAAAATAGCCGGGCATTGTGGCAGGTGCTACTGCTCAGCTACTTGGGAGGCTGAGGCAAGAGAATCGCCTAAGCCCAAGAGCTGGAGGTTGCTGTGTGCTGTGATGCCACAGCACTCTATGGAGGGCGATAAAGTGAGACTCTGTCTCTAAAAAAAAAAAAGAAAAGAAAAAGAAAAGCCAATATCAACAGTACTGAGCTACCTTTGGGAAAAATTAGAAGTCCAGTTCTTATGGCTAGACTATGTATGTGAGCACTCCTAACTTCATGGAATGATACATCCCTGAAAGGGTGGTGTGTATAGAACTCCAGCTCTGATTTTGATTTGTTACTAACATTTATTGCACGCATTCTATGTGCTTGGCACTACATTGAATACATTAAGTCCATACTTCATTTAATTCTCACAACCACCACTTATTTAAAATACCCCTAAAGAATATTTAAAGGAACCCTAAGGTGGATCCCTTTGTTTAAAAAAAAAAAAAGCCAGGCACAGTGGCTCACACCTGTAATACTAGCACTCTGGGAAGCCGAGAAGGGTGGATTTTCTGAGCTCACAAGTTTGAGACCAGCCTGAGCAAGAGTGAGACCCTGCCCCTAAAAATAGAAAAAAATAGCTGGATGTTGTGGCAGGCGCCTGTAGTCCCAGCTACTTGGGAGACTGAGGCAAGAGAATCACTTAAATCTAAGAGTCTGAGGTTGCTGTAAGCTGTGATGCCATAGCACTCTACCAAGGATGACAAAGCAAGACTCTATCTCAAAAAAAAAAAAAAAAAAA